ACTGATTTAACCCTCATTAATAGTCTTTCGAAGATTAAGATATAGTTATGTAATTCCTCACCTTACAGGATGCAGTAAACTGAGGTACAGAGTGTTTAAGGCATTAAAACTGTCAAGGTTACGCAGCTAGGAAAGTGGCAGAAACTAACATTGGAGCGTTAGGCCGGGGTGCGGTGGCTTATGCCGCCTATAATCCCTCGAACTTGGCTCGAAGTTGAGGGTGGGCGGGAATATGATGTTGTCAGGATGTTCAGAGACATGCACTGGACTAACATGGAGAATACCTATATCTACTAAAAATAACAAAAATTAGGGCTGCGTCGTGGGTGGCGCATGCCTTATTAACTTTCGCTACTGGAAGGCTGAAGGGTAGGAGAATCACTGAACCCGGAGGAGAGGTTGCGGGTTGAGCCAAGATTGTGCCATTGCACTCCAGCACTGGGCGACGAAGAGTTGGAAACGTCGGTGTCAAAAAAAAAAAAAAAGGGGTCTTCGAGGAGTAGGCAAGGACATGTCGTACAGATTTTGGTTTTTTGTTTGTTTTCTGTTTTTGGTTTTTTTTTGAGTGGAGTCTCACTCTGTCGGACCCAGGCTGGAGTGCAGTGGCGGGATTCAGCTCACTTGCAAGCCTCACCTCTGGGGTTTAACGCCATTCCTCCTGCCTCAAGCCTCCCAAAGAGTAGCTTGGGAACTTACAGCGGGCCCCCACCGCTCACCGGCCGGCTAGGTTTTTTTTTTGTTTTGTATTTTTTTTTAGTTACTAATTTTTGTATTTTTAGTAGAGATGGGGTTTCACCATTTTGGCCAGGCTGGTCCTGAACTCCTGACCTTGTGATCCACCCACCTCGGCCTCCCAAAGTGCTGGGATTACAGGCGTGAGCCACTGCGTCCAGCCCCTACTTTATGAATCTCTAAGGAAGAGAGAGGGTGTGGTACATGAGGACTCCAGAAAGCCAGGGATCCAGATCACAGTTTGGAATATACTGTTCCAGACTAGGGTGGCTAGCCTTGGCTCTTCCCTCTCAGACCCAGCCAGAGCTGGCAGGTGCTGGAGCCTCCTGGACCTCTGCATTCTGGGTGGGGTGGCACCACTCTGGGGCAACCGTCTGCCAACTCCTGCCTTCCCCTTGTTCTTCTCATTCTCCTTCCCCTCCCTGTAGCTCAGAAAACCAAATACATGCCTTTGAAACCAGCCTGTGCATGGCTCAGACTGGAAGGTAATTCAGGAAAGATCAAAGGGAGCGTCTAAGAAGCCTTGTTGGTTCAAAGGAAGGTCTTTCTTTTATACTTGGAGAGGGTTGCAGAATAGGGTGGAGATTGGACAGCCCATGTTGGGCAATGGTGTTTATTTTCTTTTTTTTTTTTTTAAATTTATTTTTAAAAATTTATTTATTTTTTATTATTATTATACTTTAAGTTCTAGGGTACATGTGCATAACGTACAAGTTTGTTACATATGTATACTTGTGCCATGTTGGTGTGCTGTACCCATCAACTCGTCAGCACCCATCAACTCGTCATTTACATCAGGTATAACTCCCAGTGCAATCCCTCCCCCCTCCCCGCTATGGCGTTTATTTTCTTCCTCATCCCTTTCCTTTATGTGGAGAAGGCCTCTGTGAAGCAGGTGAGGGCAGGATCTTCTTCCTGTGGTGCTCTTTTTCAGCCCAAGGAGCTGGGTTGAAAACCTGCCCTCTTGGCCACATGGAATAAAGTGGTTCAGGACCTGGAGGCTCACACTTCCTGATTCTGTGGCCCTGGGCAGATCACTTAGTCTCTCTAGTCCTCAGTTTTCTCACTTGAGATATGGGGATGATGGTAGCTCCCAGCACCAGGGTTGTTCATGAGGATGACAAAGTTGGTGTGTGAGCCCACCATCCTGACCTGCCTACTCTCTCCAGGCAGGTGGAGTCAATGTGCCGGCTGCAGCAGCAGGCGTCCGGCCGGCCCCCCATGGACCTGCAGCCGCAGTCCTCAGATGAGCAAGTGCCGCTGCATGAGGCCCCACGTGGGGCTTTCCGCCTGGCGGCAGAGAACCCTTTCCAGGAGCCACGGACGGTGGTGTGGCTGGGCGTGCTCTCATTAGGCTTTGCCCTGGTGCTGGACGCCCACGAGAACCTGCTGCTGGCTGAGGGTACCCTCCGGCTGCTGGCACGCCTCCTCCTTGACCACCTCCGGCTTTTGGCGCCCAGTACCAACCTCCTGCTGCGGGCTGACCGCATTGAGGGCATCCTCACCCGCTTTCTGCCCCATGGTCAGCTGCTTTTCCTCAATGACCAGTTTGTCCAAGGCCTGGAGAAGGAACTCAGTGCTGCTTGGCCCCGCTGATTCCTCTTTGGGATGGTGCTTCTGAGGGCAGGCAGAGGGTGGACACACAGCCAGATGAAGCTTGGCATCTACTGCCTGCTCCCAGTTCTGACGTACTGCTATACCAGGACAAGTGGGCGACACAAGCCTGCAGAAAGGGGGCAGAGGGTGGAGGAGGTCCTGCCTATCCTCAGGTTAGTGGAACCAGAGAACATCCTGAGCCTAGAACTGCTGTGTAACTTAGACCATTGCAGTGCGGCAGCCACGCTTGTCCTTGACCCCACCTTCCTCCATCCCTGCCAGCCCTAGTGCTAGCTGACTGGAACTCAGCCCACTCTTCTCCTTCCAAACCCACAGTCCAGGCCGGGCGTGGTGGCTCACGCCTGTAATCCCAGCACTTTGGGAGGCCGAGGTGGGTGGATCACCTCAGGTCGGGAGTTCGAGACCAGCCTGGCCAACATAGTGAAACCCTGTCTCCACTAAAAATACAAAAATTAGCTGGGTGTATGGCACCCACCTGTAATCCCAGCTACTCAGGAGGCTGAGACACGAGAATCACTTGAACCTGGGAGGCGGAGGTTGCAGTGAGCTGAGAGTGTGCCACTTCACTCCAGCCTGGGCAACAGAGTGAGACTCCGTCTCAAAAAAAAAAAAAAAAAAAACCAACCCACAGTCATTGAAAGACAAGGGGCCTCAGACTCCCCTGAGAGTGGAGGAGCTGTGCCTGCATGCTGGCAGGCCCCAGCCCCTGGCTTTGTGCCCACTTAGGCACTATTATCAACAAGGTCCTGCTCAGTGTCTGGCCCCCAAAGAGTTCAGAAATGCGTCTGTCAATCAGCAGCAGGATTCTGCAGCTCCTTTTATGCCAAGCTCATGCCCACCAGGCAGGCTCTAGATAAAATCATCACAGCCTTCCCTCATCTGCAGGGAGAGAAGGTGCTGTCAGGTGAATGTGAACAGTCTAGCCTGGTTGATGTATTTCTCATTTTGAATTAAAAGCACTGGCTGTGTGATTTCACCCTCTCTTTGTGAGTCTGATGCATGCATCCTGCTCCTACGAGTGAGTGCCTCTCTGGATGGCCCCCAAGCTGGGCATCTGAGCCTTCATGGTCAAGGATCCCCCAAGGAGGCTTCTTGGGAGGCCTCCATCTCTCATCCCCACCTCACCTCTGTCTCCTTAGGGGCTTCCTTTAGATGGTGGCACACACTTTCTCCACCAAAGTATATATCACAAGTGGCAGGTGGCTGTGGCAGAACCACCTGAGAAGCAGCGCCTGAGCCAAGAATTGGTGCGAGTGGTTTATGTGGGGCGGGCGGTGATCCCGGGAAGCAGGAAGGGGAGACAGTCCTTGTGAATGCTTGTCAAGCCTATTGGGACTGTGGTAAGGAGCTGAGTGCCTCTAGGGGCCTGCACACAGCAGTTGCCTCTGAATTACCTCGCCCGAGGGGTGGCAGCTGTGGGTGTTTGCCTGCTGCCTTTAGTCAGTGGTTACAGGTTGATCCCAGGGTGCATACATTCCCTGGCTCTTTCTGCCCCTGGGAAAAAGCCCTCAGACAATGTGGAGCTGGGCCTGCCTGTACCATGTTGAGTCCCAAAGGGATATGGGTGGGGTACCAAAAGCTGCTAGTTAGGAGGTCTTTAATCAGCAGCTTCTAGTGAAGGTTTAAACTTACTCAGTTGGGGGGAAAAAACCACCTCAGTTTACATTGATTTTCATGATCTTCCTGTTATCAAGGAAGGTGAGGCTTTCTTGGCAGAACGAGCATCCTAGGTGCTCAGCTCCGTCTCATGCTTACCATCCATCAGTTGCCCTTTAGCACCCAGGATGGACCCACCTACACCCACTTTGGAGGCGGCACTGATGATTAGCCCTTCCAAGTCCATGGCCAAGGCCACCAGCCATGCCAGACCTTCTACCACCACTGTCAACATAATTGGGATGAGGCCACCTCTTCCATTTTATGGTACCACAAACCACCTTGACCTTGAAGACTTAAAGGGATGTTACTCTGTGTGTGTGACCAAGTCCCACCCGTGGAAATGTCCCACAGGCCTCTAATAGGGACACCCCTTCCCTATACATTCTGTTCTCCTGGCCACCCCTCACCCCAGGCTGGTGGTCCTGGCGGATTGGCTGTGTTCTCAGGGAACAGGCCATTTTGTGCTCTATGGAAGAGCTGAAGCTTACTGATCTGAATTCTTTCTGCCTTTTTTCAAACTGAACTTAAGGAAGAGTTTGAGACCCTGCTCCCCTGGGAGCCGTGGGAAGTTGAGTTTAGGCATGGCTGGTGTCTTGGTTCCCATGATGTGGGGCAAACTGATGCACAAGAGAGTAGTAGAGACTGAGACCACACCCTAGGGCTGCTGAGCTCCAGTTCCTGTTCCAGATGCCCAGTTGGACCAGGGTTTTCTTAACTGGATGAGCTTGCCCAGCACCCTTCTCATACTTCACACTTCTGCCTTAGCACCTTGGGCTGGGTTTCCACCACAACTTATGCTCACCATATATTCATTGAGCCTCCCTTGGGCCTAATGCTCTGCTGGGTGCAATGCAGGATACAGAATGTCCCCAAGGTTCCAGGAGAGGCAGAGCTAAGGCCAGGTGACTGCAGATGACTGCAAGGCAGCAATGGTTTGAGCATCCCTGAATTGCTGCTCACAAGTGCTTTAAACACCCAAAGGAAGAAGGGGCACTTTAGTGAGGAAGGCCAAGTGAAGGAGCCAGGATTTGGAACCAACAGTGAGATGGCTATGGAAGCAAACTTGCCTCCATCTCCAAGCCTCCTCCCTTTCTTCTCTCTGCCCCAGGAACCCTGGCCAAACCACACATCCCTCAGCTTCCTGAGAGAACTAGAGACTTTGAGCAGCTGGTAGTGTTACCAGTGTACCTCCACAAACACTCCTGGGACAACAGGTGATGACAGGAGGGCGGTAGAGCCCAGAGAAGAGAGCTCACCTGGAGGGAGGAAGAAGTCACAGGTTTTAAGCAGGAACTGGCCTGCATGTATGTGGATCACTGATTGGGAGGGTGGTGAGCCCTGGGATAGGATTGGATCATCATGTCTCCTCTAGGGCAGGGTGGTTTTTTCCAGCCCTGTGGCACTACTCACTGGACAGCATCCCCCAGAGCTCAATATTTTCTTTTTCTTTTTTTTTGAGATGGAGTCTCACTCTGTCACTCAGGCTGGAGTGCAGTAGTGCAATCTTGGCTCACTGCAACCTCCGCCTCCTGGGTTCGAGCAATTCTCCCGCCTCAGCCTCCCAAGTAGCTGGGATTACAAGCATGTGCCACCATGCCTGGCTAATTTTTGTATCTTTAGTAGAGACAGGGCTTCACTGTGTTGGTCAGGCTGGTCTTGAACTCCTGACCTCAGGTGATCCACCCATGTTGGCCTCCTAAAGTGCTGAGATTACAGGTTGTGAAGCCCACCACCGCCTGGCCTCATCTTTAAACAATTATTCCCTATATTTTTATTTTTATATTTTAGTTTTTTTATCCTTATTATTTATTGTAATGCCATTAACGTGTGTTTGTCAATGCATACCTCTTGGAACCCATTGACCAAGTCCCTCTTGTATAGTTTAATTACCATGATGAAGTGGCTGTGACCCGTTTCTTAAATAGACTTTATTTGTTTTAGTGCAATTTAGGTTCACAGTAAAAACTGAGCAGTGGTTACAGAGAGTTTTCGTTCTCCCTATCCCCACAACATGCACAGCCTCCCCTATCACCAAACACGGGCACCAAGTGGCCATTTGTTTTATAATTGAATTGAACAGTGAATGACAAGGTCAACTATCACCAGATCCATGGTTTACATTAGGTTCACTCTTGGGATTGTACGTTCTAATAGGTTTGGATGTATTTTCCAGTGATATCATCTACCATGAATAGTATCATACAAAGAAGTTTCACTGCCCCCCTAACAGTCCTCTGCTGCACCCTATTCATCCTTTCCCTCCTTCAACCCTCTGCAACATTGATCTTTTACTGCCTTCCACAGTTTTTGCCCTTTTTCAGAAATGTTGTATACATTGCGATTCATACCGCATATTAGCCCTTTCAGATGGCTTCTTCTTCACTTAGTAATGTCATTTAGATCTCCAAGTCTTTCAGGGCAGAATCATGAGCTTTTGACAGCTTCAATTTTAGAAAGTACGCTGCACATAGTTTCCCATTATGTAGATTGCATTATCTGTTACCTACCTGAAGCATCTTGTTGTTCCAGGTTTTGCCAGTTTATGAAATACAGCCTGCTACAAACATTTGTTTACAGGTTTTTGTGTAAACCATAAGTCTTCACCTCCTTTGGGAGTAGAAAATATAATACCAAGGAGTATACCTCTGATCCCTGGGGGGGGGGGGGGGTGACCTAAGAAGTGTTTCGTTTTGTAATAAACCTGCCAAAACTGTCTTCAAAGTGGCTGTACCATTTTCATTCCTCTTGCAAGTTAATGAGGGTTTCTGTTGCTCCAAACATCCTCCTGAGGGCATTTGGTTTTGTCCTGGCTTGCCCATTCTCTTTATTTTTTCCTGAGATGGAGTGTCCTTTGTCTATGCAGAGCCTGTAGTGCAGGGGCCTATCCACCTCACTCAACCTTGACCTCGCCCGGGTTCAGCGATTCTCCTGCTCAGCTCTCCGAGTAGCCCTAGACTTACAAGGCACGTGCCACCACACCTGCTAATTTTTTTTTTTTTTTTTTTTTTTTTGAAAACGGAGTCTCTGCTCCTGTCACCCAGGCGGAGTGCAGTGGCGCAATCTCCACTCACTGCAAACCTCCGCTCCTGGGTTCAACGATTCTTCGCTCACCTTCCCCGAATAGCCTGGACTACAGCACCACCACCTGCCCGCCTAGTTGATTTTTGCTGTTGTTTAAAGAGACAGCGTTTCACCATATCGGCAGCTGGTCTCCGAACTCCTGACCCTGAAGTGAGTCTACCTTGCTTTCCGGCTTCCAATATGTGCTGGATTTCACAGCGAGTGAGCGTCTGCGCCCCGCTGGCTTTGGCCATTCTAAG